TACATAATACATTGGCTATCTCCAGTATGTCTATACTTCAAAACAGGATGTGGGTAAACATTACTTTAATCTTATATGTAACAATATTACTGTGCACTTCTATGGAACCTTCCATCCATTATCTCAAAACACTTTAAAGAATTTAACCAAGCCTACAAGGTAGGCCGATATCCAAAATGTATAGACAGGGAAACTGAGGCATACATGGATCAAGTTGGATCAAGAGGGAAGCCAAGTGGAATCTGAAAAGGCTAGTAATCCATCATGGTTAGAGCTGTGTGAATAGCTGATTTTTCAGTTTGCTGGCAGGTCAGAAAATATGGAAAAATAATTTCATTCAGATCAAACTAAAACCAAAATCCTTCAAAATTTTTGGTGAATCCAAAAGGTTAGAAAAGTTTCACATCCTGTTGATTCTCATGTTTTGGTTTGAGGCATTTTTTGGATGTTGTTTAAATGTGAAGAAAATGACAGGGGAGACAGTGCCCCGCCCCTCCCTCCCTCTTTATCCCAGTGGGGAGAGGATTCACCTGGGATGTGGGGCCTCAAGCTGGGCACCCAAAATTAGTGAGCACTTTATCAAATACTGGTGTTATCCAGCCTGTTTGTGACATCCCACGACTTGATTAAAAACCAAGTGCACTAATAATTCAGAACATCAGTGCAAGTGCCAGACTAAAGCTTTTGTACACAAGGGCAGCATGAAGTTAATGTCTACCCTCAAATGCTCCTGTTTCCTGCTATCAGAATTCCTCATATACCAAGTAGATAGTGAAAATTAGAGAGAGATTTTCCTCTTGCAATTAAGCAAACTGTTTTATTTTTATTAAAGTAGCAGCTGACTCAGAAATTCACTGTAGTTTTATATCTCTGTGCCATGACATAGTGAGCAACCGTGTATGTCTAACACACAGAGGACAAGTACACTCAACCTCTATATACTGCTCGGAGCTACTGTATTTCTCTCCCCTCCAGCAGCAGCTTAAAATGCCCCTACCCATCTCCCAACTATCATCCCCACCCTCAGCCCCCTGACAGGAACCCCAACTGAGGAGCCAGCTAAGACACCTTCCTGAAACCATCCTTCAACAAGCATGACCATTACTCTCATGCCCTGGACCAAGCATGAATGTGCAGTAGGGCAGTTACCTTCTCTTCGTGCATTAGCTATCACCTTCGCTGCAGATTTGCTCATTACATGAACTACATAAAGAGGGCAGTTCACTACGTTTGCTATGGTGATTGCTCTCTGTGTGGCTTCTGCTTCCACCTCTTCAGGACGACACAGTGCATGTCCCTCAGGGCCAGTTATCCCCAGTGCTAACATCTTCTTTGCGCCCTACAGACCACACAAGAATACATATATGTTAGCATTGCTTTAATTAGCAGTGTCAATTATATAAGTGCAGCAGTGGTTTGGCCAACTGAGCTGTCAGCTGATCTGGGTTCTAATCCAGACACTGCAACCGACTTGCTGTGTGACACTGGGTAATTCACTTAGAATGGGATTTTCAAGAGCACTCAGCACTGGCCTACTTCTGCTCCCATTGAAGTCAAAGGTCAGACTCCAATATTTAGAGGGGTGATTTCAAAAATGCTTAAGTGACTTAGAAGCACAAGTGCCACTGGCTTTCAAAGATGCTTATGTGCTTTTGAAAAGCTCACCCTGAACATCTGCGTGCCCGAGTGGACCAATCAGTAGCACAAATACTTACCCACATTATAAAGATACTTAACCACCTGTGTAAAGTACTTTGGGGTCTAGGGATGAAAAGGGGCTAGATGAGCATGAAGTATTATAATTGTCATTGTGTTACAAGTGTTTAAACACTCACTGGTTTGTAGTTTAGTGACAAATGCATTCCTTATTGAGGGACTCTGGAGACTATTGAAGTATCTTTGGCTAGAATAGTTGAAGAAACTCTGAAAACACTAGCCAGCATGGGCAGGACTCTAAGTCATAGCATGGTGCTTAGGTGAAGACACAGAAGTTACACACCAGCACTAGAGTAAGCAGAAGCTACATATAGATACAAGGACCTTGAGACTTGTGCTCACCCCGTGGACTCTGGAGCCTCTGTGTGCCTGGCTCCATTACTCATAAATGCACTGGGTAAAACACGCACGGGGAATGGCCATGTCTGAGGAGACCTGGAGTTAAGTACTATCCTCATCATGCCACTGAGGCACTTAGCCAAGTATTCCTCCCACTGACCTCACTCTTGCTCTTCTGTGCTCACTCTTCTTGACAGCTGTGCAGTAATGCTTTCATTATAGAAGGATCATTTCCCACCCCACCACATACTCCTGGGCCTACTCAGTACTTTTCACTTTATGCAGATAAGCACAACCCACTAACTACTTAAGGGAGCTAAACTACGTATACAATAAATAAACACAACATTCGTCTTCACGTTCATGCACAGTTGTTTATTTGACATGCGTAAAAGAAATTCAGAAACATTAAGGGCCTGGTTTAAAGCTCACCAAAGTCAACAGAAGGACTCCTGTTGATTTCAAAGGTGTCTGGGTCAGGCCCTAAAAAGAATTTGATGATTTACTTTGCACTAAGTAGGCTACTTGGCATCATCCAGCACCTATCCAAAATCAAATGGATCCAGTGGTTAGAACACTAGCGTAGCATTCAGGACACGTGGATTTAATTCCCTGCTCCAGCACAGAGACTTTGGGCAAGTCACTTAACCTCAATTCCCCATAAGTAAAATGGGGATAACAGCACTTCCCTACATTACAGTAAAGACAGTAAGGCAGCCTGGTAGTGTGGGAATGGGAGACACGTCAGTACCTTTGACTTCCAAAGTTTAAATCATTGCATCCAACACCTACCTCTGCAATCAAATCCCCATTCTCTGCATGGACCTGAGCAATCGCTCCAATTTGCTTACACTGGGAAAAAGCTGCATATAGTTCACTATCTTTAACCATATACAGATCTTTATAGGCCATAAACATCTTGAAGGAGTTGACCCCTTTGTCTTCAGCAAGAATTCTCATTTCTTCCTTGACCTGAAAGAAAAACAATGTCAACAGTTCCCACAATGCAGCTGTGAAAAATATAATGGTTATCTTTTCCACTTCTATCAGCCTTGCTAAACTGCCATGAGGAGATGAGGATAATGAACAAACCGATGATATTTTACTTGCCCATCAAGAAAAAATGTACTCAGTCCAAGCAAGCGTGGAAAGTAAAATGTTTCAGGGCAATTTATATAGCTCCTTTTATATCAAAGTGTTTCGCAAACTACATACACACACATATAGATGTCCAACACACAAAGAATTTTCAAAGACTGGACATTTTTACCAAAGAAATTGGTGCAAAGAGCCTGGAATTTGTGGAAAGATCCCTGCACCATATGCTGATTAATATTCAATTTCTCTCTCTCAAAAGGTTAGAGAGTGGAGTAGGTCTGGGCAAGTTTTGATCCAGGAGTTTAGATCTTTCAGACCAGATGCTAAACCAACTGTGTCCCTTCTGGGAATTAACCTCTGGCATACTCAAAGAGTAAGGACAAATCTGGAATGACTGATAAGGAAAAGGTTTCTGCTGTTTAGGGCTGTGACCTGGGGGCTACGTAATATTCAGTCATTTGGGATATTTTGTTCCAGTTCTCAAAAGCAAATCTAATCATCATCTACATGGAAACCTCCTTTGTCTCTTGCATGGATCCCAAGCCATGGGATCTCTGGGCTCGGTAGTCTCAAAGGCCCAGATCACTAACAGTATATCCCGGAGCTGGAAGGAATTCATATTTCATAGCCTTGTGTTTCCCACCCTGAGTACTAACTGGACCCAGAGGCATCTTCTAAACCCCCAAACCTCTCCGTGATAACCAAAGGGTTCTCATAGGCTGGTGCCTTAAAACCTTCAGCTTACTTTTTTAATTTGTATTTGTTTTGCGGGCAGGTTGAATTTTACTGTTGGGATTTAAAGGCAACTTCTTCCCAGGCATGTTAGGAAGTTAGCAGATTCTGGACTGACAAGATGGAAGCAAATAGGAAGAAAGATCCCCATGTAGTGTGCTCTGTTAAATGTATTGGTTTAAAGGCATAAGCCTGTAATAGCTGCTAGGCCACCAGGGAACTTGGGAGTGTGAGGGCAACCAGGTGAAGATTTCCGGGCCCAGCCCCTGTGTGTTTTGTGGATGGCCAAAATTTATATTTAGATTAAAAAGAGCCAAATTACAGAATTTGGAAGAGACCCTGGAACTGGAGGGGAGGGAAGGAGTGTATATGCCCAATCTAGGGAGCCTCTCTCTCCAATATCGGAATACATGCCCATCTGGGAAGCCCCTCTTGCCACACACACACCCCTTATTCCAGTGCATATGCCAGTCTGAGAAGCCTTTCCTTTGCCATTCTAGGGCATACTCCTATTTGGGCCTGAATATGCCTGATAAATTGCAGTCTGTGTCATTAGTAGGAGACACATCACAGTATCACTTTGCTGGGTCTTGGTCACCCACTAAAATTGTTTCTATATAGTGATGTAAGGCAGTGTCATGGATAAGGAACAGTGCTGAAAATTCAGAGGCCTGGGTTTTATCATCAGAACTGACACAGACTTCCTGGGACCTTGGACAAGTCATTTAGACCCTGAGCCTGCAATTGACTCTGCTTGGGTGGAACCATAGGGTTCTGCATAGGTGCAGGAATTTGCCCACATTTATCCAGTTGCAGGTTTGGAGCGTTAACTGCTCAATAAAATGAAGATGATAATACAATACTTCTGATTGTTACTTTGAAATCCTCTGAGGATTATTATTAAATGATCATTAATTATGATCTCTAACATCTGGGTGGGTCTACTCCAGGGAACCTATGAGATCCATTAGACCCAAGAGAGACTTCTGAACTGGATATTAGAACATTTACTCTAGGATCAAAGATGTCAAACATTTAACACACTTGCTATATTCATTTAGGTATGGCGGGGCGGGGTGTTGGTGGAGATGAAACTAATAGGTCTGTTTTGTCTTTAAACTCTAGGATTTGGTAAAGGAATTCTAAAGAATCTAAGTTTTCTGTTGCATTACATTAGAATTAGATGCAGTAGCTGCTAGAGCTTGAGGAGCTGGTGGCATACCAAAAGGGCATGACATATGTACATGTCTTCATCTGGTTTGCCCAGCTTTCCCTTTCTGTCTGAAAAATGTAGGGACTTCCATTTTTCTTGATAAATTAAATGCATTTATGCAGCCCAAGACTACAGAACAAAATGAATGGAATTATAAATATAAAGCCAGGGCATGTCACTAACTTACACTTAGCCAGCATTAATGGTATTTTCTACTGTCCTAAAGCTCATGCATTAAGCTTTACTGGCTAATTTATTTGATACCATTACAAAGTTGTGACCAATGCATGAAGTGCTCAGTGCACAGAATCCCATGCCCTGGGTGTTACAGGACTACTGTCTTAGTGTGTAATTTTGGGAGTTAAAAATAGGAACTGGAAAGAACCATATATTAGTATCATACCATTATTAATAGAGCACCTCACATTCTAGATGATCCCAAAGAATGGGTCTCATTCTGAGAAATGCAAAATTCCTGAAAGTCCCATTGAAATCAATGGAAATTTTAGGTGATCATCAGGGTCTTAGTACTTCTCTTGGTTAGGCCCAGTATACACAAGAATGAATGGGGTTTTCCTGGAGATCTCTCAGTTAAGAAATTGACAGCCCCAGTTGTGTTCAGTTTGTGAGATCTAACAAAATCACAGACTAAGGCAATACTACCGCAGGCCTTTGCAAATACAGGTAAGTATTAATATGTTTTACTTATGTTAGCATGTTACACTTTACATCTGAAATCTAGTCATGAATAATTCAACTTAACATTAAGAAATCAATATAGCGTCACACTATTGTATCTACCTTGCTGCTCCAGCATGTAACTGCCACATGCAGTGCATAATCACAGCAGACTTTAGGATCTGCCCAGCTCCTCCATGTGTCATAGGCTTCAACAAGGGAACAGCCTTTCTGAGGTATTGCAAAGTCGATGATCATAGTGGTGCCTCCTGCTAGAGCAGCCTGAAATCACAGGAGTTGCAGTTATTTAGTCATCGGTGAAGAAAGGTTCCTCTCACTTCGGGTATGTCTACACTATGAAATTACTCCAATTTTACAGAAGTCAATTTTGGGGAACAGATTAGATTGTATAAAGTCAAGTGCATGTGTCCACACTAAGCACATTAATTTGGTGGTGTGCATCCATAGAACCGTGGTAAGCATCGACTTTCGGAGCGGTGCACTGTGGTAACTATCGCACAGTTCCCACAGTCTCCGCTGCCTATTGGAATTCTGGGTTGAGCTCCCAATGCTTGATGGGGACAAAAATTTGTCACAGGCGGTCATGGGTAAATGTTGTCAGTCAAGCCCCCCTCCGTGAAAGCAACGACAGATAATCATTTTGTGCCCTTTTCCCTGGATTGCCCGAGCAGACACCATAGCACAGCAAGCATGGAGCCCGTTCAGCCTTTTTTCCACTGTCACCGTATGTCTACTGGATGCTGCTGACAGACGCGGTACTACAGTACTACACAGCAGCAGCTGCAGCTCCTTGCCTTTGCAAGTTAGCAAAGACAATTACCAGTCATACTGTATCGTCTGCTGCTGTCATGGGTGCTCCTGGCCGGCCTCCGTGAGGTCGGTCGGGGGCACCTAGACAAAAATGGGAATGACTCCCCAGGTCATTCTCTTCTTTAAGTTTTGTCTAATAGAGATTCAGTGCTGCCTAGAATATCAGGCAAGCCTACTAAAGAACCACAGATGCAAGCGGCCACTATGGATCAGAGCCCCAGACATCCTGCAGAAATGATGAGCTGCATGCCATTCTAGGGGGTGCCCGTACAACAACCCCACCCATTGCTTCCCTCCTCCCCAACCCCTCCTGGGCTACCTTAGCAGTTATCCCCCCATTTGTGTGATGAAGTAATAAAGAATGCATGAATTTGAAACAACACTGACTTTATTGCCTCTGCAAGGAGAGATCAAAGCGGGGAGGGGAGGGCGGTTGGCTTACAGGGAAGTAGAGTGAACCACCATTCTGCACTTGCTCAGCCTATAGTCTGTCCATCATGGCCTTGGAGATTTTTTTAAATGTTTTGGGATTCCGTCTTTTGGAACGGAGTTCCGATAGCATGGATTCGTCTCCCCATACAGCGATTCTGGGACCGCATGGTCACCTGTGCTGATGAGCTCTGCATGGTTACCTGTGCTGATCAGCTCTCCACGCTGGGGAAACAGGAAATGAAATTCAAAAGTTTGGGGGCTTTTCCTGTCTACCTGGCCAATGCATCCGAGTTCAGATTGCTGTCCAGAGCGGTCACAATGGTGCACTGTGGGATAGCTCCTGGAGGCCAATACCATCGAATTGCATCCACACTAACCCTAATTCGAACCGGCAATGTCGATTTCAGTGCTACTCCCCTCATCGGGAAGAAGTATAGAAATTGATTTTAAGAGCCCTTTATGTCGACAAAAATGGCTTCGTTATGTGGACGGGTGCAGGGTTAATTCAATTTAATGCTGCTAAATTCGACCTAAACTCGTAATGTAGACCAGGCCTTCTCTTCCTTCTCCATGATGTTGCTACATCTTGTATGTCTTCAAAATCAATATTTCCTCTCTATGCCCACCTTTGTCTGTGCATTGAAAATCTATATGCAATTTAAGACTCATCTTGTATGAAATCGGAGTATAGAGTGCGATGGTGCAGAGACCTACCTGATTTCCATCAAGTAGGACTTTAACTTTCTGCTTAGGTGTGTCACAGATGTAAAGGGCCAAGTAATGAAGCAGGGCTGAGGACTGAGGTCCCAACCAGGCATTCAGAAGGAAACCAGGAAACTAAGACTAAACAAACTAGATAGTTACACAGGCCCCAAACTGCACTAAAGATTTGAGAGTCTGCAGCATTCCTGCATCATTGAACGTCTCTAACCAGCTGGTACATGAAACAGGGAGAAAAGTGCCAGAACCACCGTAGGCACACAAATCAAAGTGGATATGCTTTTCTAGGGTCTGATGAGTTGGCAAAATAAATCCAAATATCAGCAGAATAACAATGGAGGCAGAAAGGATGCCTTTGAATTATGGTACCTCCAATATAGAACAGCATCAGTTTAAAAACCTGAGCCTTGTGGGACACCAAAATTACTTTAAAAAGTATTTTTTAAATGTATTTATCAATTGAAAGAGGGGATAACCCAGGGAAGTGGCAAAAAACTCACAGATGACGCACAGTTAGCTAGGTAAGTCATTACTAGAGAGGACTGTGAGGGACCTCAGAAAGACCTAATAAAAGGTAGGTGATGGGCTTCACAATGGCAAACGAAATTCAATGTTGAGGAATGTAGAGTAATGCAGACTGGAAGAAACACATTGCTGGGTTCTTCCGTAACTGTAACCAGTCAGTAAAAGACTTCTATCTCAATGTGGGCAATTCAATGGAAACCTCTGTTCAAAACAGCAATTATAATGCTTTTTATATAAATCAGTGGTACAGCCCCACCTGGAATACTAGGTTCAGTTTTGGTCACCTTATCTAAAAAAGACAGCAGAAATAGAAGGGATTCAGAGAGGGGCAACAAAAATAATTAGGAAAGGCTCCTGTGTACAAAAAGATTGAAAAGACTGGGACCATTTATTTTAGAAAAGGAAAGACTAAGATGGACATGAGGTGCTGGGAAAACAAATCAGGTGCTCTTATTTATCCTCTAATACATAGTGCACAAATAAGGACACATTCACTCACAACAAATTTAGGATTGATACAGGAAACATATTTTTCAACAGTCCACATTTAACCTCTGGAACTCATTGCCACAAGAGATCAACTGCAAAAGCATGGTTGTATTCCAGAAAGGATTAGACAGTTACATGGAAATATCTTTTTACATGAAAAAAAAAAAAAACTTTTTTTGGTGGGGACACAAACACTCACACTTCAGACATAAATCAACCACTATCTGCGTGGAGTTAGGAAGGAACTTGCCTTCTAAGGAGTATTATTCATTAATTGTCCACTGTGGGGTTTTCTTTGAAGCATCTTGTAGTAGGTCACTGTGAGAAATAGGATACTGGACTAATAAAGCACCAATCTGCTCCAGCCTGTCAATGCTCTTATTATTTAGTTTGATCAGCCAGAAGCTCTCCTCCTCTGAATAGTATCCCTTTGCACAGCTGTTAAGCCGAGGTCAGATCAAAATTCACTGGGGTTCACATTAACATTGCAATACCCTTTTCCTATTTCCATCTCACTCAGCCTGTTACTGAGTCTTGTCCTTTCCTAAACCTGTTTGCTGAAGCCACCAGAATTTACCATGAGCTATTTCTTCTTTCAACCTCACAGTCCCTTCTTTGTTTCCCAAAACAATTTAATATTCTACCTACCACTACCTGGATGCCAGAATTGGAAATTTTTTTTGCCATAAACAGGGCTGGCTCCAGGCACCAGCCGACCAAGCAGATGCTTGGGGTGGCACCTTGAGGGGGGCGGTGCTCCGGCCGGTTGGGGAGAGCGGGGCCGCGGCCGGGCTCGGCGCCCTCTCCTGCTGCGCTCCCCGCCGGGGGCCGGAGGCTTTTTTGCCTGGGGCGGCAAAAAAGCCAGAGCCGGCCCTGGCCACAACAGTTTTTCTGTTTCTCTTTGTGGATTTCAAAGCAATGCTCTTAAAAGAGCAGTCAGGAGACTTTTGAACATTTATAGTGAGATTTTATTTTGAAACAAAAACAGCCCATCTCATAACACAAAATACAATAAAACCTTGTTGGTAAGCATTTTTTAAAAATAGGTATTTCCACCTCCTTACCCTGTCTGCCTATCTTTTTTTCCTTGACATCTGCAACTACAGATATGCAGTGCTTTTATTTATTAAACTAGGATGACAAAATTCAATCCCCTAGCTAATCATTTACACTACATTTCACAATGATTTTGATACAAGTGTGGCCCTGTGATCCTTCTTGCTAAAGTATGTGCTTAATGATGCCTTAGGGCAACAGTTTTTTGTATTTTCCTTACTGGAATCCCATGTTACAACAGAAGCAAAAAAAAAAAAGGTCCATCTTGCCAAGTATCCTGTCTCCAACAGTGGCCCGTACCAGAGCTTTGGGTGAGGGCAATTATGGAGTGATCCACCTGTCTTCCACTCCCAGGTTATGATAGTCAGAGGTTTAGGGTCACCCCAAGCATAGGGTTCCATCCCTGACCATCTTGGTGTAGCCCTGACAAATTAAGACACTGTATATTTCACACTGCTATACTGTTTATTGATGATCCCTCTTATATTTTATCCATTAAAACAGGTTCTTCCCCAAATTGGGCTACACAGAAGTTTCTCTTACAAAGTTTTCTATGTCTTTTTCTATAGGACCTACATCACATATTTCTTAATTCCTATGTGTAAATATGATCTAACTGTCTAGTTACTAGGGGTACATGGTGGGGAGCAGGAACTGTGGCCAATGGGAACTGTGGGGGCGGTGCCTGCAGGCAGGGGCACCAGGCGGAGCCCCCCCCGGGGACTGCAGGGACATGCTGGCCATTTCTGGGAGTGGTGCTTCTGGCCCTGCTTACCTTGGGCAGCAGCAGGATTACAGCAGGCTCCACTCTCACAGCTCCTATTGGCTGCAGTTCCCAGCCAATGGGAGCTCTGGAGTCAGTGCTTGGGGTGCGGGCAGCACGTGGAGACCCCTGCCCCTCCCAGGGGCCACAGGGACATGCTGGCCACTTCCGGGAGTGGCGTGGGCAGGCAGGGAGCCTGCCTTAGCCCTGCTGACCCAAAGTAAGCACCGCCCAGCAAGAGCCCGCACCCTTCACCTTCTCCCACATGCCAGCCTCCTGCCCCAGCCCTGAGCCCCCTCCTGCATCCAAACACCCTCCCAGAGCCCACAACCGCTCCCTCACCCCAATCCACTGCCCTAGCTCTGAGCCCCCTCCTGGAGACTGCACCCTCCACCCCCTCCCACACTCCAACCCCCTCCCTCAGCCCCCTCCAGCACCCAAACTGCTTCCCAGTGCTTGCACCCCA